CAGCCAAGCTCAATGAATCTGTGAAGACTTTTCCACAGTTCCCCTTGCAAACTACTTGGATCGCTTCCCTAGCTGTGTGGAAGACAGGAGGCAAATTGTGGTAGACATTGTGGCAAAGGCACAAGCTATTGAAGTGAGAAGATAAAAAGTCAAAGCCCAAAGTTGGCTAGGGTATAACACTGAAAAGAGGAGAAGTGTTTAACTGCTAAATCACCTAAACTGCTTTGCCAAACTTTGACATGCTTGATTTCCTGTGCTTAAATAATTTTTTGACTTAAAAAAAAAAGTGAAGAAAAATAACCAGCTGTTCCTTGTATAGTCCAGGAAACAAGTTTGATTTATTGCTTCAAGGTTATTTTTGAAGGGGCTGCTTGTGGCAGCCAGAGTGCCGGAGAAGTCACTGAGGCCTGTCCACTTGAAGGGCTCAAACTGTTTCCTGAACAGCCCTTTTTCACTCGTCACCTCCGACAGCTATTATTGACAACGTGTGACTGGGGCCTTGGAGTATTTTAAAACAGCAGGGGTTCTGGCCAAACAATCAGCCTGTCAATTACCTTTTCCCCTGTTGTGAAAAGGGGGCCCAGGACAATGCAACTTCTCAGCAGGGGGTTGTGCTGCTCCAAGTACGTGACCCACTCTGCACAGTGCAGCATTCAAAACCAAATAAATGCTGGTGCCTGCCCTTTTCTCTGCTTGGATGAGAATTACTGGAAGGTGTAGGTGTCTACATGGAAAGGTTTATATATTCTGCTGAGGCAGAACTGACTGCAAATTATCATCTCTCTGTGTTCCTCTTTCTTATGTTAGGTGGAAAAAAACATCCGTCCTCCTCCTGCCCAAGTAGCCCTGACCACAGGGGAACGCCCAGGCTGCTCTACCTATATTGTGTCTTTAAAAACTTCCTGTGTGCCTTGATCACTTGCTGAGAGGACTGTCCATCATACAGCCGCTTTGTCTGGCAGTCACTTCCATTTGAATTTGACTGACTGAGGAAGCCCAAGTTATTTGTAATGAACAACAAGGCTTTTCATTCATAATTTCAGTAGTGGGACAGGGTGCTAATGACTGAGCTTGAATAACCAGGGAATGTGGTATTCAAGGCAGGAAGAAGCCCAACTGGCTGCCAAATGAGAGGAAGGGGGAGATGTAGGTGAAAGTGCTGGTTTGAGAAGGCAAACAATAAAATTAGGATCACATATGTATACAAATCAGGTTCTTAAAAGATAAGACAAGCAAAAAGATAGACACGGGAAAGACAGCTGGGGAAAGTCAAACTTTGTATTTCATCTAGCACCAAATCAAATGCCAGATTAAGAACATAAGAACGGCTTTACTGGGTCAGACAAAAGATCCATCTAGCCCAGTATCCGGTCTTCCGAAAGTGGCCAATGTCAGGTAACCCAAAGGGAATGAACAGAACAGATAATCATCAAGTGATCCATTCCTTGTCATCCATTCCAGGCTTCTGGTAAACAGAGGCTAGAGACACCATCCCTGCCCATCCTGGGTAATAGCCGCCATTGATGGACCTATCCTCCATGAATTTATCTTGTGCTTTTTTAAACCCTGTTATAGTCTTGACCTTCAGAACATCCTCTGGCAAGGAGTTCCAAAGGTTGACTGTGCGTTGTGCGAAAAAAATACTTCCTTTTGTTTGTTTTAAACCTGATGTCCATTAATTTCATTTGGTGACCTCTAGTTCATGTGTTATGAGGAGTAAATAACACTCCCTTATTTACTTTCTCCACACCAGTCATGATTTTATAGACCTCAGTCATATTCCCCCATTAGTAATCTCTTTTCCAAGGTGAAAAGTCCCAGTCTTATTAATCTCTCCTCATATGGCAGCCGTTCCATACCCTTAATCATTTTTGTTGCCCTTTTCCGAACCTCTTCCAATTCCAATAGATCTTTTTTGAGATAGGGCAACAACATCTGCACACAGTATTCAATGTTTCAAGATGTGGGCATACCATGGACTTATATAGAGGCAATATATTTTCTGTCTTATTATCTATCCCTTTCTTAATGATTCTTAACATTGTGTCTGCTTTTTTGACTGCCACTGCACATTGAGTGGATGTTTTCAGAGAACTATCCACAATGATTCCAAGATCTCTTTCTTGAATGGTAACAGCTAATTTAGACCCCATCATTTTATATGTGTAGCTGGGATTACGTTTTTCCAATGTGCATTACTTTGCATTTATCAACACTGAATTTCATCTGCCATTTTGTTGCCCAGTCACCCAGTTTTGTGAGATCCTTTTGTAGCTCTCTGCAGTCTGCTTGATTCATAAAGTGTCTGCAAAGGAAGTGATCTTTTCTTTTATTCTCTTATTTTAGTGAACTGGCAATGGAAGAAAAGACTTTCACTTTTACGTTACATTTTGCTGTTTTATACAACCTGTTTTTGAAGTTAGTCTGAATGATGATTCAGTCTTTTCTGCTTATGTCTTTTCAGCCTTTATAAAAGATCAGAACACAGATGCACTAAAATCGTGGCTCTCTATTTTTGCAGTCTATGGCCCACAACATATGTTTTACACACTGGTTTTTAGATACATATATGTTCTCTAACTAGATAAGAGTTTGATCTAAAGTCCACTGACGTATAACAACAACACCCTTTCTATTGACTTCACTAGGCTATGGATCAGGCCCTAATTGAAATTGAGTTAGGTGCTCAAAAACCTATTATAGAACCATACTTTTATTTCCCAATGAAAAATAATTTTCTTTCTGAAAATATAACAGCTTATATCTTAGCCATATTCTAACTGCCACATCTAATTTAAATGAGAATACATTAAAAGCACTTGCATTAGTTTTACTTATACTATCTGAAATGATATTGACAGGACATTACAAACTTAAAAATAAAAATCACACTCCTATCTGAAAACATTTACCTCCCAAGAAATGGGATAGGGGTATTTTCTTCCAGTTACAGAGTTTGTTTACTTCATGCGCTTGGCAGCATTTTGTTTACTATAAGATTCATTGTTCCCCTTATATTTAGTTAGTCAGGCCAAAATCCTGTAAGCTGACCTGTGCAGTTGGACTCCTGCACCTCCATAGAGCCCCATTTACTTCACTGGGGCTAGACAAGGCTATAGAGAGGGGTCCACTTATCCAAAACAGCTTCTGGAATCAGGATCTCAGTCAATTTCCACCATCTGTCTCTATAAGACCTTCAAAAGCAACAACGCTGATTAAAAAAATGGGAAAATGTGATTCTTAAACTACAAATAATGGCAGAAAGAACCAAAGCTAGATGCAATACCTGAAACAGCTTTTAAACATTTCAAGTTTACAGTGGCCTATTAAACCAGTGGTGGGAGTGGATCTTCCTACACAGATAACCTTGTTTAGATAATCAAGTGTCTTGCCTGCTTCTCTCTTTAAGTAAGGTAAGTATAATTAGTTGACTGTTCCTATCTCTTTTAAAGTGGTTTTTAGTCTATTCAGCCCTGATCTTGCAATCACATCTGCGCAGACAGACCATTCAGCCCACATGGAGTCCCAATGACTTCAGTGGGGCTACCTATATGAGCACAAAAGTCCACCTGTGTGGATCTGACTGTAGGATAATACTAATAATAATTGACAAAAACCATTATTACAATTACTTTAATAGGAGCAACACATTTATGACAAAAAATAAAGACAGTGTTGGGAGAGGAAGCATTCTTGTTGTTTCTTATGACTTAGAATTCATTCCTCATTAACAAAGGTCCCCTTCTGCATGCTGTCTATGCCAACTCTGCTTCGAGGAGTTTTTACAAGCCACTTAGACAAAGAGTAAAAATATTTCACATATGAAAAAACAGCTCCCGGACCCTGATAAAAAGATGAGAATATTTAACAATTGCTTAATATGCTTCTCTTGGTTTGCAGGAAAATGACAAGTGGAACGATGTTTTAACCTAGCCCAGATAGCATCTTACTAATTTGCCTGCTACATGCCTCAAACTGCCAAAATTCCAATGACCTTCCTTCGCAGTCCAGCCTCTTGGGCTGTCTCTTTTTCCCTAAAATGTTCCACAATTTCTACCACCTTTCTCCACTGTCTCCCGCTAGAGACCTCAGTAGGCTCAGCCTAAGAGTAAACCAGAAGCATTTGCATGCTGAAAAAAAATGTTTGGGGAAACATTTGTCAAAACTAGTCTTTACTCACAAATGTGTTAACTGATTCAAAGTCACTCACAATCAATTGATTGAAGGTAAAACTCTAGTGTAGCTGAGCCTAGTCAGATCATCTAACCCTGCTCAAAGCAGGGCAGGACAACGCAGCAGTTAAAATGCTTGTCTATACCCTCACTCACACTCCAACTACCGGCAGCAGCATATGAAAATTTAAGGGAAAAAAGGCTACAGCAAGGTTTCCCAAGTTGTGGTATGAAAGGCTGATTTTCCATCCATTCACTTCACAGCAATTTCCCACTTTTTAAGAATATGCTGTTAACCTCTATAGGAAAAGAAAACTGAGTCATGAAATGTATTATTTAAGAGAAAGAGGAAAAGCGTATAACAGTTCTAGTAACTCTGTGATCTTATTAATATAAATATAATCAAATAATTCTAGTGCTCCTGTTTTATTAGAACAGTTCCTATGCACATGATTGTGGTGAATCTTTCCACACGCTCACCCCTCCCTTTTCTTTAGAACAATTTTAGGATCTGGAGAAAAAAAAATGTGAACAGATATATATTTGATATTCAACTAGAAAATGTTCTTTTTGGTACATGTCCCTAGATATATTGGGCCAGATCCTCAAGTGATTTAGGATCATTCCTGTTATCTCACCAAAGACGACAGAAACTGTTGGACAGCTCTGAGTGATGATGGCCTGATCCTGAAGGGTATTAAGCACTACTAAAACCATTAGGTCACGTTGCAGGTAGCCACTCTGTTTCAGGACTTTATTCACTGATTTCAGTGGGAGCCACAGTCCATGACTTGGGACTAGGTACAAAGTACAAAGCCAAAATATTACCTTTTTACTCCCCCACCTCGCCGGACTCCCAAAATTTCTTCCTCCCAACCTGTAATGAAAATCATACAACTGAGATGAAAGGTATTTGAATCAGGGACACAAACGACACACATAAAATCAAATCAGCTATTAGGCTGAGATTTTCAAAGCTGTATAATAGATGTAGGCAGATATCACCAACTCATTTCAATGAAAAATATGGGTATAAATACCCTAGACTGCTCTGAAAAATCTCAATTTAATATTTTATCAATGGGAAGAGGACTTCAGACTAGCCACTCATATAAGCCAATTTTACTATAAATAGCTCCCTAATGTACATTAACTTTTTTCAAAGACTCAAACATGAAAGACAAAATCAATTAAAGGTTTAGGATTCTATGGAATTACTAGGCAGTAATAGCTATGTGTAGACAATCACATTCACTACATGGTGTCCATAATCCATACCTTCACATTGCCACATTAACATAGATGCAGAAAATGCCCAGAGGAGGCACCAAACAACCTGAGCGGCCATCCCCTTGTGATGAACAACCACCCACAAAGATATATTTTTGAAAAAGGGAAGTGCATTGCATATTTCTACTCTGCAGCCTGAACAATGGAAATCAAATAAAAGCATGTACGGTACATTTTCAATACTTAGGTGCAGCAGAAATCCTACCAGGACCTGACTGTCAGTCCTTACATGGGCAAATCTCTAACTGAGGTGACTGGAATTGCCAGTGTAACTAAACCATGGCCACATATATATACATTTACTGCGGTCCTCAGCTGGGAATGAACCCAAGAGCAAGAGCACTGAAAACACAGGCTTCTGCTTGAATTAAAGTCAAACTCTTGTTGAAAGTAGCAGACTGTGCAGTCATCAGTTCAAGCCACTAGGGGAGACATAATTGCATATACTAACACTAGGCCATTTCATTTCACAAAGGCTGCAGGATTATTTCTTTTGCTGACTATCTGGAAAGTGCCAGCATGCCAATAGTTAACATGGAATTTACCAGTAAACTTTTATTGCCCTAATAGCCCCAGCAATTTTGGAGCATATTTTTCTTAATGGGACACCTTCCACTTTAAAATAGTTTGAACTCATTGCATAAAATTAATTCCAACGTAGTTTCGGTACTACATCTGCCTGAGTCATGCTGACAAATGTTGGAATTTTACAGTCACATTTTCCTATTTGTCAATTGTTTTTCTCACCCCGGTCGCTCTGTGAAAGTCACAACAAGGAAAACTGAGCATTGCTTTGATCCTCCAAGGCATGTTGTGAAGATGAACGTCTGCCTATATAGTGCACCAACCAGGACATGCAGGATTGGGGCCTCACTAGCTAACACCTACTGAACTCACTTACTTGCACTAAGTAGTATCTTTGGCCCCAATTTTTAAAGGTATTTAGTGCCTACTGTGATTTTCAAAAGCACCTAGACACCTAACTCCCATGGAGTTCAATAGAATTACTCGCATGTGTAAGCATTCATCAACATAAAGGTTGGATAATCTAGTTTGCGCCTGTAAAGATTTACACGTAAACCCATTCACATGCATAAGGCTAAACATGTACATAAATCTTTGTAGGACTGATTCCTTAGGGCTGATCTACACTGGCAATTTACAGAGCTGCAACTTTCTCTCTCAGGGGGCGTGAAAAAACACTCCCCAGAGCGCAGCAAGTTTCAGTGCTGTAAAGCCCCAGTGTAGACAGTGTACCTCGTGGAGGTGGTTTTTTTAAAGTGCTGGGAGAGCTCCCCCCACAGCACTCTGCCGCGACCACACAAGCCACGTTAAAGCGCTGCCGTGACAGCAGCGCTTTAGCGTTGCCAGTGTAGACTAGCCCTAAATTTGGAAATTCATCAGGATTAAGGCCTTGTTTACATTAGAAAATTAGGTCAGTATAACTATGTCACTCCACTGTATGCATCCGATGAAGTGGGCTGTAGCTCACGAAAGCTTATGCTGTAATAAATAAATTGGTTAGTCTCTAAGGTGCCACAAGTACTCCTGTTCTTTCTACGGACACAGACAAACACGGCTGCTACTCTCAAATACTTCACTCAGGGGTGTATAAAATCCACACCCTTAAGCAGCAATATAAGTCCCTGTGGAAACAGCACCAGGTCAAGGGAAGAATTTTCCCGTCAACCTACCTACTGCCTCTCAAGGAAGAGTATTTCCTATGGTGATAGGAGAATCCCTCCTTGTAGGTGCACGCTTGTAGGTGTGTCTACACTGAAGCACTACAGCTGCAGCATTGTAAGTGTTAACAAACTAACATATGGTCTTTTTAGCTTTTCTGTAAGACCTTGATCCTGAAAACACACATATGCTTACCTTTGGGAATATGACTAACCCCACTGATTTCCTATATTTCATTAGGACTATTCACATGTCAAATAAATGTACATTTGCAGGACTAGAGTCTAACATGTCTACCATACTGCTGGCTGCTATAAAAATAATAGTATTGTGAACACTCTTACACTACACAGCTTGTCAATTTAAAAAAAAAAATGACCTAAAAGACCTTAGCCATCTCTAATATCCGTATTTTTTAAAACCTCTCTAATTTGGGGGTAAGGGTTGTATTTGGCAAGAACTGATTTTATTTATTTATTTTTTTTTGTACCTTGCCAACAGAACTGCAATTGACATGGTCCTTTCTGTTTGCCTCCTAATGGTTGATCTGAAGTAGATGTGGACCTGAACTAAACAGCCAAATCTGAATTCCTTAACTTTCACAGCCAAAGCAGGCTCCCTGAGCTCAATTATACCCGTTCCCAAGTGGGGAAATGCAGCACCAACCCTAAACTGATCCGAGTGTACACACTGCAGGCCAGGCCCAGCTGTAACCCGCAGGCAATTCAGGCAGGAGAACTGTCCAGCCTCACTTCCACTGTAAATCATGGAAACGCTGATTTTCCAGGCCAGAGACGTCCTTCAAAGACCTGATCTGAAAAGGCCTACGGTAAAGCCCCGGGGAGCGTCGGGCGGGTGAGCTAGACCCCAGGGACTCTCCTGCGGGCAGCCCCTGAACAATTTCGCCCCCGGGGAGCGCAAAGGCAGCACAAGAGAAAAGGTGAGCGGGGAAACTTGCAGCGGCAGAGGCGGGGCGGGCGAGGTGGGGCTTCGCGGGCAGCCACTGAGCGCCGCCGTGTGCGTGGAAAGGCGGGGCTCTTACCTGCTCAGCCTGGGATTGACTGGCAAGGTGCCCGCCGTGCAGCTTGTTCACTGGCGGCGGCTCCCGGTTAGCGTTACACAACGGCGGGCAAGCGCACGCGTTCCTCTGCCCGCCCTGTGGGCTCTGCGCTTCCCCGCACCGCCTCTCGCAACAGCTGCACGCCGTGTCCGGCGAGACCGGGCAAGTGGGCCGCCCTTCCGGCTGATGCGAACCCCGCCGAGCGCTTGTTTTTGTGGGGAAAGCCCTGGCGGTTCCTCCCCAGACAGCTCCCAGCGTCTGTCCCACGGCACACGGACCGACTCTGGGCTCCCTCTAGTGGGGACCCGGCGTGCAGCCGCCTTTCATTCATCAAGAGGGCTCAATGGAGCCCAGCCTTGCAAAGCTGCAGCTCCCTGGCTTTTTGTTCTCGGGCAGGGCGGTCATTCACAGATCCGTCCGCTTGACTCGCGTCACTGAAATTACACGAAAGTGGAGAAAAACGCTGGCTGCAGCTAATTCTCTCTAGCCCAAGATCTCCACACCACCTCCTGAGGTCCCTTCCAACTCTGATATTCTATGTTACCACCCTGCGCAGACATCTCGGAAACAACACCAGTCTATTTAAACAGGCAGTGCAATGGTCCGAGAGTCTAGTGAGCTTTGTTAGTCTCTAAGGTGCCACAAGTCCTCCTTTTCTTTTTGCGGATACAGACTAACAGGGCTGCTCTACTCTGAAACTAGAGAGTCTAGTGAGCATTCAAAGGAAGATATTAGGTTAACTATAGACCTGCCTTATTAATAAGCTGTGGTTAATTTTCTTGTTGGTGTATAGATAGACAGATCTCGCTCTAGAAAGAGAATAGGTGAGGGTGTAATACCCCTCCACTTTATTTTCATGAGGTACACACCTCATCTAATTCACAAAGCTATACTTGGTATAGGTAAAAGAGGATGTGCAGGCAGACCAGATAGAGGTCGTACAAGACTTTTCCCTATATGAATGCTCATGTAAATAATACAATGTACTGCTGACTTTTATTTCTTATAGATAACCCTTACAAAATAGGTTCTGCATACACGTGTGAATATAGATAGGGTTGTTTGTGTGTGTGTGGGGGGGGGGGTGTGTACCTATATATGTTTTGGCATAAAATACACAACAAGGAACGAGGCAAATTTTGAAACCAATTATTTCACCTAGTGCCTGCCAATACAGAGAAGAGAGGATTGTGTCATTACTGTAACATACAATGTCCATAAACCAAACATCTGAGTTGTTTTCAGACACTGTCCCATATGTTAACTGAACTTAAATAAAAAACACTACGTCTCCAGCGCTAGGGACTGGTGCTCTGGAAGTTGTACCGCGCTATAGCACCTCCGACTCATTGTACCTTAAACCAGTGCTACTCAAAGTGGTGGTCCGCAGACCGGTGCGGGTCCGCCAGCCATCGGCTGCCGGTCTGCGCAAACACTGGGAAAACAATTGCGGGTCCCCCACCTCAGATAGCCTGTCACATGAATGACAGGCTATCCCCAGTCCTAGCACCGAGGCCGGAGTTTTCCTTCCCCCTTTCTTTTTGTTGTTGGTTTTCAGGACATATTACACCGCAGTGCATCATGCCGATCCCCTGGACAGAAAAAACAAAAAAAAAAACAAAAAAAAACAAAAAAAACCCACCCCAAAGTGCTACTCACTCCATTGTGTGGAGGAGAAGTATGTCCCGAGCAGATCGCTGGTGTCTGAGGTACACCGCGTTCCCCTTATTATCGCAGCCACTAATTTGGAGGAGGAGGAGGAGGAGGTGGCGTGGCTAGTACTAGAATATGGTGTATGATCGTGTTTACGCAGCAGCCCGTACCCAAAATAATACCCCCTCCTTCGGCCGAGAAGTGGTAGGCGACTGGATTAACTACAACGCAAAGGAAGGGGAGGGGGCGTTTTGAACTGCTATTTAGTTCTACGGCAAAAACGCCACCGGAAAGGTTTTATTTTCTTCTGCAACTCAACCTCCAGGGGCTTCAGTTCAATCCAGCGTAACCAGCCAGCTCGCCTGAGGGTCCCACGTAGCCTTTTGTTTCGTCTGCCCGAGTGTCTCGCACGTACTACGCGTTGTGTTACTTTGCGCGAAGGAGCCTCTGGCACAAATCGGTGGCCCGGCGGCCCGGGGAGGGAGCCGCCGCCGCCGCCGCCGCGCCAGGCAGCACAGGGGTGGCGAGGCCGGGCCGAAGCAGCAGCGGGAGGAGCAGTTGTAACAGTCATCGGGCGGCGGCGGCGGCTCTACTTGCAATTGCAGTGCAAGTCGTCTGCTTCCCCCTCGGGCTTGCTCGGTGCTGTTGCCCTTTTGAATGCCTCCTGCGGCTCAGAGTGCTGGCAGGGCGCTGGGAGTGTGAGTGAATGTAGCCCCGCAGAGCCAATGAGCTGGGACCGGATGCGATATATCCTCTGGGACAACAACTGCTCTGTTCCTCCTCAGATCCACATGACGCCATTTACTGCTGCTTTTGCAGAGAGATCACCCTACCTCCTCCGGAAAGGAAAAGAGAGAGAGGGAGCGCGAGCAGAAAAACGCCAAGCCCCTGCAGCTCAGATCTCAAATCTTTCTCCTCCTCCTCCAAACACACAACAACAGGCACCACCACAAATCCGCTGCGCTTCCAAAACACCCCCTGATTGCAAACCACAGCGCTGCCTGCAACACTCACACGCTCACAGAGGGAGCGAGAAAGCTAACGAGAGAGGGGAGCTTGCAGCTTCTCAGCAGAACGGCTACACTGCACAGGCTGCGTTTTTGCAGGAAGAAAAGCTTTGGGATTTTATTTTAGATGCACTGTATTGGGTTTGCTTTGGCTTCTCCCTCCCCTCCCGCCCCTTGATCATTTGCAACAACAAAAAAAGTGACTTGGTATTGGCGATTGAGGGGGCGGGGGGAGAGGAAATAGTGTATGAGTGATTTCTTTTTAGGAGCAAAGAAATACCCACCCGACCTGGAGACCTTTTCTAGAGGTTTATATTTATAATCGATCTGGGGACACTGAGGTCACTTTGCTCTGGATTTTTTGAGATGATGGTGATGATGATTTGCAAGTTGGACTAAAGCTGAGTTTGGAAAAGAATTTTTTTTTTTTTTTTTTTTTTTTTTTGCTGCTTTAGGCTGGATTTACTTGCAAACCGCAGGAAGAAGAAAACACGAGAGAGAGGGGGGGTTGGTGCTGTGCCGCGATCACGGTGAGAGCATTTTCCTTCTTTGCAAAACAAGCTTTTTTTAATAGCCCAGTTTGTTCCGAGGAGCTCGTGGAAATGTAGGTGTAAGGTCGATCCCTTTTCAATCCGTGAACCTATCCCCCCACCCCAGGAGTTGGAAGTGGAATTTCAGCGAGATTTTTTTCTTCCTTGGGGAAGTTCGGCGGGGAGAGGGGGGAGCATCGGATGGTTTCTAAGGGCTGTTTCACGTGTTTCCCCTCAAAAAATGACTTTGCAGGGAGGGAGCCCCCCCCCCAGCTCCGCGCCATTGGGCGGTGGGGGGTGAGTTTAGAGGGCGGTAATCTGTACTCAGGTTTGAGCATTTGCAGGGAGCAATGTCTGCGAAATAGTGCAAGGACTTGAAGCAACTCGGGTGACTTCTTTGCATACTGTATTCTCCTACAGTCGCAGGAACATGCCCCTGCAGAGTAGAGACGAGGAAGTCCTGGTAGATCCTGTCTCAAAGCATTACATGGATTTTGGTTAGGATTTGGGGGGTTGTTCGTTTGTATCGCTTGGTCCCTGTACTTGGTGTCTTTAGCCACCTCCGTTTAAATGGAAGACTGACACTATTCTATAAGTGCATTGGGAGATTTGTGCCATTCGGAAGTGAGCTCACGCCTGCTATAAATATATTTTCCATGCGATAAAGTTAAATAGATCGTCGATATGACAGGGAGTAAATTCTTCTCCTGGTTTCATTATATGGTGTGTAGGACTGAAGCAGTTTGGGGGGAGGAGGGCACGGAAGGGCTTAATATTTGTGGTGGTGGCTTACTTTGCAACAGCTTCTGAAAGTTGCTGGTGTTTGCAGCAAGCTGTGTGTCAGTTTGCCCCACCCCGATGTGAAGTCCCTTTTGCCCTAATCCATAGTCTGATCACACACTCAGCCCTTAATAGGGGTTTCAAAGCACTTTCAACGAAGAGGTGCTTGGTGTGTGTGCGATGGAGATGGGGTGGGGGTGTGCTGCAAAGGCTCCTGAGACAAAACAGAAATTCATGGGCAGAGAACTTTTTCCCCCTTAGGCTTCCCTTCTCCCAGCCAACACGACATGGGTTTTTCCACAGCACACAAGGAGCACTTTGCGTTTTAAACTTCCCCAAGCGTGCAGAGGATAAAACCCAGCCCCTTTTCCCAATCCCAGTTAGCAAGAGTTAGCAAATCATGACATTTCTGCTCAGCAAGTGAGTGGACTTCGGTTTTTGGAAGTGGTGAATCGCGTTATCTCAAAAAAAAAAAAAAGAAGGCAAATGTTTCTCTTGCTATGCTCTTATTCGGTAGGTGGAAAAAAGGGGGTGGGTGGGAAGGAGGGAAAGGGAAGCATTGAGATCAACCGAGATTAAAGAGGGGAGAGTCTGTTTCCCTGAAAGAACTACAGGCAAACATACGTGCAAAAACAAGAGTGCTGTAGATCTGCATCTTGCCCTGATAACGGATCTTTCCAGAGCTCTCGGTGCAATAAAATGCAAGGGCTGTTTGTTATGCTACAAATTCAGTGGGTGTCACTTTGTAATTCCTAATCTGGGAATCTGGTTGAAATTTACACAAAATAGGTAAAATAGTAGCAGCACTGGCGAGGTTTCCTACAGCTGACTTCCTGGAATTGGAACTGTTGCTTAATGGTAGCCCTTGAAGGGGAAACCTGCACTTTACTAAACTACCTTGGAGGTGTTCTCTCAAATGAGACGTAATGCAGGAAGCTTTATATAACTCTGACTCCTCCAGCATCTCCTGGGGGTGGGGGGTGGATACACAATAGTTAAAAGGAAGCATGGGCTTGACTTTCCTGATAAGGCAACTTTAGAAGCCGCCTCCCTCCTCCACCCTAGAGGATGTCTCCTATTTATCTCCAGGTTGTCTGCATTTGTGAGGCTGCTTGTTTCATTTGCAATATCAGCCAGTCCTGAGAGAATTAAGGGATTGCTGCGCCCCACCTGCTGAGCACGTTGTTCTGGGCAAAGATGAAGCCTATAAAAGGAAAGGAAGAAAAGAGCAGTGTTTTCTTCTGCAGCTTTTACCTTGTTGTTTGAAGGGGTTCAGTTTCCAAGACGCTTGTCTTTCAAAGAACCTGTCGGTCAGTGTCAGTCATACTTTTAGTGTTAACAATACTGCAGAGGCAAAAACATCTCTCATTTGCTCTTTGAATTTAGTTTAAATCTAGAATTGAAAGAAGAGGGGTATGTGAATTTGCAAATTCCGCTCGAGGTGGGGAGAACCTTGATTTAACCTTGTTATCTTTAAATAGCTTCCAATAAGGACATGTCTGTTCTGGGCATTGGATTTAAACTTTTCTCTTGGCAAGGGTTTTAATTTGAAGTAGATATAAACAAGAATTAAAGATGTGTTTGCAAGATAGCTTTCACGTGCTGAGAATCATGATTTCTAACATGCATGCTGGGTAAAAGCCAAGATTTAACAATAATGAACACACCCAATATTTTTATTAAATTTCATCTTTTTCGAAAAGGACCAGCTTATAAAATAAAACAAAGAGAACTTATTTTGGCTTGAAAAGTAACCAGCGGGTAAGAAATTAAATGTTTTCCTTTGGTTTTAGAATAAAGACAGCATATGGAGATGTTCACTGTTGAAGTGTCTGTTTGGATATATTTTACAATACTGTGGTGTAGTATTATTTATTGATGGTAAGTGATATATACAGAGTAACACTATGGTGCTCTTTCTAAGTATAGTTGAAGACATTGTGTGGCCCTTGCAAGAAGCAAGGGTTCAGATTTGTTTTTAAGTCAAAACAAATTCCTTTGGATGTTTATGTAGCTAATTTAATTTTGAATCTACTTTAGAAACCATTAAAGAATGACAGATTGCTAAATTCTGATCTACAGATTTGTTATCCATTGTACTAAGAATCAGTATATTATAAGTTTATGATGCTAGTCATACACTGATTTCCATTAACTTTATGCATGTTTTATTGGGTTTCCACTGAATTTCTTAAGGCAACTTCCATTCTTAATTACTTAGTGATGTATCCTCAATCAAATAGTCTTGGATGATAGTATTTAGATTGTATTCTGCATATTTCTGTTCCATAAATTGCTCTGTATTTTCTAGTCATGCCCAATATTTGAATTATAATCTACGGATAGTTTGAAATGTAAAAACAATTCTGCAGTGGTATTTAATAGGAAATAACTGACGTGAAGTACACAAGTATGACACACTTGACAATCTTAGAGACTTTTTTTTACTTCTGCAGTTGATGTTTTTGGTAGCACTAACTCACTGGCATCTAACCTCAAACATTTTATTGCTGTTTAGTGTTTTTCTTGGGACCATTGGTATTAAACTACAATTTCCTATTTACATCATGTTAAGTTTAATGTGTAAAGAGACTAGCCTACCAAAATATTACTCAGTTTTAAATAAAGTTGAAGAATTAAATAATGTCTGTCGTCAGCAGGTCACATTACACTTTCTAAAACATTTGTAGCTGTTCTTTGTGTAAAATGTATTTTTAGTAGTGTTATGTGAAAAGAAGAGTCATTTTAAGTAGCTATGTTAAAATCCACGGTCTAGCCAGAGGATGACTGGGAGGTCTCAGTATCAGGTTTTAAATACCTAGATTTCCTGGAATCACAAGTTCAAGTCCTGCCAGGGTCAGCAAAACCCTCTCTCCTTGCATTATAGATAAACTGAGTTCTGTGCCGTTTACTGGATGTGAATCATCTTTATGACGAGTTCTTAAAAACCTAAAACTTCTGTGTTCTGCATGGATGCAGAAAAAAAGTCCTTTAGTGCATTTAGTAAAAGTAAGAGTTTCTTTAGCAAAATCAGACAGGTGCAGAGTACTAACCAAGTCTGGTTTCTGCCCTCCACCTCTAATGTGGCTCCATTTTAATGGTGGTGTACTTATTTAATTAGTAAAATGCTCCAGGATCCTTCAGGAGGAAAGACAATTTGCAAATGTACAATGTGACACAATAGTGAATCTTCTCTTTGTTGCTACAGGAGTTCAGATGTGTTCTAAGCCTGCTGGAGTGACCACTCTTCAGGATACTGATGGAGACAAGAGCTCAGAATGGCAGTGGGTCCCAGTCTTTGCTACAGGTTCGGCATGACGGTGGGAGGCAGCAGGGAGACTCTGACCTGAGGGATGTTCTGACACAGCAGGTTCATGTGTTGTCACTGGACCAGATCAGGGCCATCCGAAATACAAATGAGTACACAGAGGGACCTACAGTGGCTCCACGACCAGGGGTTAAACCTGCCCCTCGTCCAGCTAGCCAGCACAAAAACGAAAGACCTCATGGCTTGCCTGAACATCGTCATCTTACCAGGGTCCAACATACACAGGTACATTCTTCCTCCCGGGCACCCTTGTCCCGTTCCATCAGTACGGTCAGCACCGGTTCACGGAGCAGTACAAGGACAAGTACAAGCAGTAATTCATCTGAACAAAGACTTCTAGGATCATCTTCTGGGCCAGCGGCTGATGGGATAATCAGGGTGCAGCCCAAGTCTGAGTTCAAGTCAAGCGAGCTGAAGCCCCTGAGCAAAGAAGACTTGGGCATGCATGCCTATAGGTGTGAGGACTGTGGAAAATGTAAGTGTAAGGAGTGCACTTCTCCAAGGACCCTACCATCCTGTTGGATCTGTGACAAGCAGTGTCTTTGCTCAGCCCAGAATGTGGTTGATTATGGGACTTGTGTTTGCTGTGTGAAATGCCTCTTCTATCACTGCTCTAATGATGATGAGGACAACTGTGCTGACAACCCATGCTCTTGCAGTCAGTCACATTGCTGCACTAGATGGTCTGCCATGGGTGTTGTATCCCTCTTTTTGCCTTGCTTGTGGTGTTACTTACCAGCCAAGGGTTGCCTTAAATTGTGCCAGGGGTGTTATGACTGGGTAAACCGGCCCGGATGCCGCTGTAAACACTCAAACATAGTTTGTTGCAAAGTTCCCAGTATTCCCCCCAGGAACTTTGAAAAGCCAACATAGCATCACTAATCGGGAATACTAAAGTTATAAGGATTCTTCTAACACACATATGCAACCAACTAAACAGCTATAACCTTGGCACTGTTTTTAGAAGGGTTGGGGGTATACTTTGCTGTTTGCAGTGAACTGCTTTTCTGCATGTGTGCCATCTTAACTGATATGCTTGTTAGAACCTAGCTAATGGAGCTCAAATATGGGATGCAGTACTTTGGGACCCATATATTGCATAAGCTAAAGCAACACAGACACTCCTAGGTGACTCTATTGTTTGTGAATAGTACTTGCAAAATTTGTAAATTAGCAAATGACTCCTTTTTTTTATTGTTTTCTGCCAGAGATAATGTGCTATATTTTTGTATATACGATAATATTTTCAACTGTGAAAAAAAAAAGTGGTGTCATAGAACATGGCACAGTCACAAAATATTATACTAATATGTTGTACATTCGGAAGAATGTGAATCAATCAGTATGTTTTTAGATTGTATTTTTTGCCTGACGGAAACCCTCTATTACAAGACTTTGATTTCTCTTTGGACTTCATGTATATTGTACAGTTTCAGTAAAATTCAGCCTTTATTTTCTAATTTTTTTCAACATATTGTTTAGTGTAAAGAATATTTATTTGAAGTTTTATTATTTTATAAAAAAGAAATATTTATTTTAAGAGGCATCTTACAAATGTCACCCCTTCTTATGAGGACGTCATAGTTGCTGCAAATAAGGGGTGACAGATGCATATGTTCACTATAAAATAGAAAATATATTAACGTTTGAAATTAAACTGGGCTGCTTGTCATTTTTTTCCCCCTTATCTTTATTGCTCTGAATTGGAAAATCTGATTTGTGAGGTTTGTTTGTGCTTGTTTGTTTGTTTTTTTAGAGGGAAAAATTCAAAGAAACGTGTTCACAAAGTGGCTAAAATAATGAATTGATTTAAGAACTTTAGGTTAATGAAAAGGCAAACTTTAAATGTTATTTCTTTAACTGAAAATAATGCATTTTTCTTACCCTTACAGAAATGGTATAAATGCTGTTTGCATAGCCTAAGACGAAAATGAACATAGGAAAATGCATGAACTCATTCCAGACTAGGAATAATCAACACTGAAAACTGACCTATCCTGTTAAGTGATGAGCTTTTTGTGCTTTAAATAGGAAATAAGCAATACTAGTTCACAAAAAGGTTTGGCTTGCACAGGCTCAGTACTTGGAAATAATGGACAGCTAATATGGTTACTTCAAAGAGTTTGTATGATTATTTGTTAAAAGGAGAAGAATATGCTTCAGGGAGTGACAGATCTGAAAGCAGTCCAGACTTATATAAAACATTTGCCTCACTTTTAAGAAGAAAGTTGCTTAGTTGATTTGTCACTTGTAGCAGTTACCTTCCACTGAGGTCAACATTCTTTCATTGCTAAGTGCCCTCGGAAGTTTAGAAAATGATTTACCTTTCTTTATTAACAAACTACCATTTCCTGTTCTGAGCATGTCTCTCCAAGTCTAAGGTCTTAGTGCTGATTTTATACATCTGATTTTTAGGTTGGCATTTAAGAAATATCACAGCCTCCTCTGAATCCTCTCCAACAAAAACAAGGTTAAAATTAATAAATTAAGAACTTATTTACTACAAGTTTAAACGTGGGGCTACGGGAAATTGCAAATTTTTACCCATTACTTTTAATTCTGGTGTTCTGACACTTGGGATGTTTTACATAGGTTTGCAGTGCTGAAAAATCCTTCTCTGTGGAAGTGTGTGCACACTGGTTATCAATTGTCAGGTGAAACTAGAAGATGCAAGCCCTAACTAGTTTGCTAATCAGGAATAGTTGATACACAAGGCCCCCCCCCCCCCCCCTTTTTTTTTTTTCCCCAAATGGGAGAAAGCAAGCTAGATTTCTTTATTTCTCAGCACCAAACGACTGGCTGACGGGTGTAAAAAGACAAGCTATTCAGGTAAAGCTTGCATAGCATACAAATTCTTTCAAGAGTGCACAAATATTGTTGTGTCTAGGCTTTTGAGTATGACTCACAATATTTATCTGGCTGATCAAATCAATTTACTTAGAAACAGCGCATTCAGATATCAAAGGAGTGACTGATCCTTGTGTTTCTATTCACTTCCTCCAATTCTTGAAATGGGTCCAGCCTATATCAAAGGTGGCATGTGCAGGTCTTGCATCTATCCTGACTGAAAGTAACCACAGAAATATTTAAATAGCACAATTATCTGAAGTCTTTGCCTCTGAGATTACATGTTTGGAAATAAAAATACAATTCATAGCACAAAATAACTCAAACTCGTTATCTTGTATTAATGAACTTGGTAATGTGGATATTGAATTGTTAGTCCTTATTGTCTTAGATATGTATTTTAAAAAAATATACTTAAATGCATGATACTAAAATTGAAATTGGCAAATTGGAATGTGTCCTAATTGTTTGACAAATTAAAGGTGTACATTACTTCTGGTGCATAGGTACTGAAAAGCAAATACTAAAGTGTTTTGATTTATTTTATATTTGCTGGCTAACTAACTAGTTATCTGCATTGATAGACTTTTTCCCCTTCCCCCAGAATCTTACTGTAGGGAAATATGAATCTGGACTTCATTTAAGAATGATTTGTCAACATTAACTCAGTTCTTCATTAAAGATAATTGGCCAAATTTTGCTGTCAAGTTACATCCATTACTAATCATTGAGAGTTATGACACTTAAGCCTTGTGTGGACGAGGAATTAAGGTGTAATGCTAGTAAGTTTTAGCTAACTGTGCTAACTGTGTTTGAAAAGTCTAGACTATAACTTGAATAGGTTAGCACATGCTAAACCCAGTGCCTTATCCACACTAGACTTCTCCAATATGTTAGCTAGCATGTTAGTTAACGTGCTAACATCACACCTTTTAAATCCTAGTTTAGACAAACTTTACTAGTCTGGGCCAGGCTGAAACCTGCCCTCAAAACTGTTAGCCTGTGCATTAATGAGCATTAAAAGGACTTTGCAGTTGGATTGAGCCAACGTAATTGAAAATTGCACCCCTTTTTTTGCCCATCAGGACGGAGCCACTGAGAGCAGAATTTGACCCAATACTTACATTTTGAGGGTCACTGTGGTGCCTTGCCAAATGTATGCAATGTAGAAGCATGCCCTGGTGATTTTAGATGTTCGCTGTGAAAGTGTGCCTGCCTGTGGGTGAGAGACAGTGAGAGAAACAAACCCCACCCAATTAGCTCAGTTTGTTACATTGCTCTTTCAGCGTTTTGATCCTCAGGTAAACTCTGGCTTGCATGCACATTTTGGTCTGAGGTGGGGACTCTGAATCGGATATTGGCAGATAATATAGTATGATGAATTATAATTTTAGACAAATCACAGCTTACACTTTCCTCTATGGTGTGCAAATTACAGGTACGGGGGGGGGGGGGGTTGTTCTCTGAAGGTAGCAATCAAAGCAGTAAAAGCAAAGGAGCTCAGTTTTACCAGGACAATAATTAGGTATAATACCTTTAATGGAAATAAAAGGTGGTTGATCATGTGGAAAGTACGTCCTGTTCAAATGAACTATCAAAGCATTCATTTTAACACGACAGTTTTAAAGAGTCAAATTTTTTATTTCCCAGTTGGAGAGGAGTAATAGCTGGACATTCATATAAGTTCATTTGATATTTTTTACAGTTTCCTATAAAAATGCCTACCTATCTATGCCATGCCTGTATGCCTATGTAAGTCACTTGATACTTGACAGTAGCAAAAATATTGGCTACTTACTGCAGTGTCCATAATGTGCTTACAACTTTTGTGCATTGCGTTACCTGATGGGATTTTTTTTCTCATGCTGGGAATATTTTAAAAAGTTTGGTGAAATATAAATGTGACCCCACCTTATTGAGACTTATTTCTGTCAATTACCAGTGCGCAGAGATCTGCAAATACATTTGGCTTCACACTAGGGCCTCACTTCATATGAGTAGCATTGGTTTTGGGTAGCATTGCTTGTTGACATTTTATGTAACCCTAAACAAACAGCAGGCTGGGGTGATGGGAGCTGAAAACATAACGAGCGGTGCCAGAACCATAACACGTTATGCTGTCTGTTCTCTCCTAATGGATAAAGTACTGAGTTCTTTTCCGTTTGTTTTGCATTACAAAAAAAACTTTTTTTCTTAATGGAAGTTGTCAAAAGTTTATTGGAAACAGGAAAATCAGAAATCCAAATAAAACTGTTCTTATTGGAAGCAAAAGTGTGCTGTACTGAATTTAAATATACTGCATGCATTTGTAGCATTTCTTCTGCCTCGGTATTGTCTAGTGTCCAGTTTCCTTACTTCTCTGTAAGGATTTTACTAACTCAGGAGATCCTGCTGCGTTTGTCATATTTTTGTCTCACATATTTGTTCCATGTTGTACCAGTTTCTTCTTTCAATACTTAAAGGTTTATTGCTACTTCTAGTGCAGGGGATGAAAGAAGAGCATGAAACATGCTTTTCTTATGAGCATGATCTGTCTTTGAAGGTTTTATTGGGGGTGGGGGGGGCGCAGAATGATTACCTTGACATACTTGTGCCACATTTTAAAGAGATTTCAAATGTTTTCCATCTGTCTATGACACCGGTCCCCAAGGTTCTAGGACATATATTATTTTCATTTGTTTAGTGTGCTTTTGATTATGGCAAAATGAGATTAGCCTTTAACATGTTTTGTTCATGATGAAATACTTCCTCCTAGTTAAATAAAACATTTCAGTTTACTGGTACTGTAGTGCAGTGGGCTGGAATCTAGATCACACTAGATTCCACTGCTAATACCCCAGTGTTTAATTGCTCCTCCTCCTCAATAATAAATGTTTTGTTTGAAATAGAGTTTTTGTTATTCTATAATGGGAGGAAGGCAACAGATTCTTTTGGCCCAGCCTGGCCATGTCAGTACTATTAACAAACCCTTCTGCAGTGACTTAAGTCCTGCATGTGTTGGCTAGAAAAGCCCTGCCCAAAATGTTCAGGCTTTGGGAAGCCAAACAGTTGATTGCAGTGGGAGTTGTGGATATCCGGAAGCCTTTAAAAATCAGGTTACTTTGAGTTAAATGCTGAAATATAAACTTAGGGGCCTTACTTTAAATAATCATTTTTAAAAGTTTTGCCCAGTGCTATAAGCTGGTTTTAAAAAATGATGCTATCAGACTACCTCCTGCTACCCAGGGAATCTACTATGTGATTGTAGAGCTGCTCTCTGTGCTTGAGCTACATCAGGAGAGAGAACACTGAATGAAGATCGGAGATATATATGCAGGGCAAAAGTCTAACTTGGAGTGACAATCTGAGTCTACATAAAAAGGTAGGTCAGATAGGTCACTTACATCAGATCTAAGAACATAATGTTTTGTCCATGTGGACTCTTTAACTTTGTGGCCAAAACTGATGTTGGATAATGCATGTGGATTTCACTGTAAATTGTGCATAAATGTGATAGTTGTGAAAGAGTAGAATGGTCATCTGCTATTTTACAGCATCACTTTCTCAAAATAACATCTAACTTGCAAGGTTCTCAGTTGCTGAGAAGTGAAATATTTATAAATATTTATAGTTTCAGGTACTACAGTCTGCCTACTAATTTGTGCAGTTTTGTAATCACTGATCTTTTTTCTCCTAAGGGTTTTTTTTTCCCCCTCTCCATTGTTGCTGTGTGAGATACCCAGACAAGTAAGGGAAGCTGGCCATTCACAAGGTACTGTCAAATGCACAAAGTAAACAAACTGAAATAATAAACTTTTCATCCAGTCTTTA